GCAGACTTGATAATTCATATTATGCTTTCTGTTTTAATTCGTTTGACGGATACTTGCCAAAGCAATGGCGTAAAACACAACGTTAAAGAACTTTTATGTTATATGAGAAGTATAAATATATCTTCGGTTTATTACTGTGGCGGGCCGCCACGGTCTAGTTAATGAATTTGACATTTTAATTTGTCCCGTTACATCTGGCGTAAAAGCAACACAGCATTTCATCAAAAGAACATCATAGCAACAGTCAAACATGGTGGAGGTTGTGTGATGGTCTGGGGCTTTTCACGGCACTGTATATATATATATATATATATATATATATACACATTTTCTAGTGGGACATCTATCAGCGTTGCACTCGCATCTCACAGAAAGCGGCATGTTTAGAAAGCCATGTCAAATTAATGCAAGTTCAGCTTTTAAAAAACGTGTCTAAAGACGTTATGGCGGTTTTCCCCATCCTGCTGTATGTTTATAAATGAAGAAAGTAGCCTATTCTTTGTGATTGGTTTTCGGTCCTTTGTATTAAACTATAAATGCATGCATGGGAAACATTATTTTTTAAACATTATGCACTTTTTTTCAAAGAGTCGTGTTATTTTATTACACTTTGAAGAAACGTGCATATCTTGCTCGATGCGCCCTCTTGTGGCCTCAGGAGAGAAGCCAAAAGCTTTTTGCCCCTACCTGAAATTATGCCTTTTAGATTAGAATATAATTCGAATTTTGATAATATTTAAGTAGAAAATTTGAATTTAGTTTTTCAGTCATTTTGACAGCCCTAATAGGCATATTACATTATGTATTTTAACAGTGTTGTTCAATAAAACCATGTAATTACTTGGTTTTGATATTTTATTTGAGCCAATTATTATTGCCTCATCGATAGTTTATATATAAATAGTCATACTAAAGCCTGGTTTTCACTTGGGCCTGTTTGTTACTAAAAAATATCAGATTACTCAGTTGTCAAAATAATCAGTAGATTACTTGATTACCAAAATAATCATTAGTTGCAGCCCTAGATTAGTTAAAATATTTCAAAATACAACTGCATTGTTTTACACTTTGTAATTAAGAGACAAATATTTTGTCATTGAAAATGTCTTAAAAATATCTTCTTAGTATTAAAGAAATGATTCATTTCATAGTATTAAAATATTGTCTGGTTCTAGTGAACCGAGTATCTGTATTTTATCTTGTGAGCTAAGTGTATTGTCACACCCCTCGAGTCGATAAGCGGTGATATAGCTCATGATTTTCCAAGTGTATGCTATAGCTTTCATTCTTCAGGTCAATCATGTAGTCATGAAAACAAAATCATTTTGAATAAGGAAAGCGATAACTTTGTCATAGCATCCTTTCAAATGTTAAAGTTGCCAGTCATTGCATGCTATGCATGTGCTGCCCCGCCCCCGGAAAAAAGTTCAGGCTCAGGATTTTTTTTTTGCTTTAACCCCTGAGATATTTAAGATGGAACTGACGGGTTTTATATGTGTGTTTGGCTGTTTTTGCTAACATGATGAAAAGACTCCAACAGCAAGGAAGGTATATCAATACTCTGTGGGTTCAGTTCATGTGTCCGAACACAGCATTGCACATTGTGTACATTCACTCTTTATTTCACCAGTTTTTGTCTGTTGTTTGTTTTGGTGGGTTTCACTTCTGTGGTGTAAAATTGCAGTTTCCATCCCAGCATCTGACTGAAACACCCACACACCAAATGCTTGCATGATCTCACGTGGATCGCATATCGTCTTTCCATGTCACCACAGTCATAAACGATGCTGATTGATTGTTGATAGATCTTCACTATTCAGATATTTTGAATCTCACATGTCTGAGGTGTCACAGAGAAGAACAGCATCCTTCAGATGAGTTCAGCATGTGGAAAACACACTTAGGCTGTGATGCACTGATAAGGATTGGGTGTTTAGATTAAAAGATCAAATCAAGGTTCATCTAATGATACCTATAGGTCATGAGTTGCTCCAAACTTTAAAATTGGGTCAACATAATCAGGATTTCAAAATATGAAGGTTTTACTTTTAGATTTACATGTACATTTAGTTATTTAGCAGGTGCTTTTATCCAAAGCGACTTACAAATGAGGACAAAGGAAGCAACCAAAATCAACAAGAGAGCAATGATATGCAAGTGCTATAACAAGTCTCAGTTTTTTAATAATAAATAAAAAGAAAACAAGTAGATAGCATAGAAAAAGAGCAGAGAATGTTAATGTTAGAGGGTCTCTCTTTTTTTTATAAAGAAAGAAAAGTAGAAAGAATAGAAAAAGAATGGAAAATGTTAGAGTTAGAGGATAATTTATTTAATAAAACGAAAGCAATACACAGAATAGAGAATAAAAAATCATTGCACATACAGTGTATAGTGAATAATCAAAATATCTCCCGGCATCAGCCAAAGTTCCTCATGCTGAAGTTCATATCAGTGACCTGTTTATCAAAACCCGTTTCTGCCACAGAATAAAAAAAAGGGTAATTGCGACTTTTTATACAACAGTTCTATTGTATAAGATTTATTTTTCCCAACAATTGCGAGTTTATGTCTTGCAATTCTGTTTGTAACTCACAATTCTGAGTTTATATCTTGCAACTCTGTTTAGATCTTGCAATTCTCCTTTTATATCTCATCATGCTGTGAGGAAGAAAAAGTCAGATTTGGAAGAAACGCAGAATTGCGAGAAAAAAAATCTATTTTTTAAAAAATCTCATGGCAGAAATGAGTTTCCAATTTTTGTGGTTGTGGGATCATATTAATTTCCTGATGCTGTTTTAGGGAAAGCATTCATTTGCTGCATATCCTCAGTGTTCCTCCATCCATTCATGCAGTGTTTCTCTTTCTGTTAAAATCTCTTTCCTGCTCGTTTTCTCTGTGCAATCCCTTCAACTGTTCCCTCTTCTCTCTCTGTATTCTCCTGCGTGTGTTTTGTGCTCCTCCCTCAGCCTCCTATGCGCCGTAGTACCAAGGTGAGCCTGCACACCGCAGCGAAGTATTCTGGGAAATGTCTGGGCCAATGTAGGGCTATGTTCGGAATGGAATACTATTTTTACTGTTTGAGATTCAAATTGTAGGTCACAAAATGAACCATGCAACTAATGTAACATAGTATTGTCTGGAACATTTTTCCCATGTAAATGAGGCTTATGACTGGAAATGATCTGGTGAGATTTTCCATCTTTTCTGATGGTTTGTGTTGGTACGTGTGCTAGTATTCCCATCCGAACTGAGCCTCACTCACATTTATCTGCTTTATTCTCACTTTGACTGCACTGAAGGGTTCTCATTAGCATAATTAATTTATCTCAGGAATAGTAATATCATCAATGTAATGCACACTATTGGATGAGAACACAACTTGAGCTGAATGTTGACACTCTTCAATAGAGCTGCTTTATAGTTGAATCGCATTTGCTTCACAATTGACCGATTCTGCATCATAAACACTGTTATTGAACTGAATTGAAACTGCATTGAATCTGAATCGATCTACAGTATGTAATGATGCTGTTGATTTCTGTAGAGCAGCTGAAAGTGAATTAGTTTCATAATTGATGAATTATGCAAGGTTAACACGGTTATTTTCCTGTTCATCACTATGAATCTGCGTGACTAGATGATTAGGTCATCTGAGGTCGTCTGGTGTTTTCATTTTAACGAGCGTTTGTGTAATGTTGCGTGTTGGTCTCTGTATGGAGGCAGTAAGCGAGCGTGAGGTTGATGTGTGATGTTGTGTATTGTGCGTAACAGTGGCCCACACCCAGACGTCTGTCCAGCTCCAGCTCCCTCCCCTCTCTCATCATGGTACGTCCCAGATCTCAAACCCTGTCTGAGGGGGAATCACACGCTTCTGGAGATCTTCACTGATAATCACAGCTTCGCTGGCCCAGTTTACAGCTGCTGTTATCATCTACACTCAGTACAAGTGTAAACAGATCCAGTGTGTTCAGTAATTAAAGGCCCCTCCATCCATACGGATATTCAATGTGTAGTTTTAAATTCATCGAAAAATGGAGATTTGCTGAAAATGTGTTCATACGAGATTAGGATGAGTTTGTTTCTTCATCAGATTTGGAGAAATGCGTCTCTGCATCAGTGGCTCAGCAATGGATGCTCTGCAGTGGATGGGTGCCGTCAGAATGAGAGTCCAAACAGCTGATAAAAACATCACAATAATCCACAAGTAATCCACAGCACTCCAGTCCATCAGTTAACATCTGAAGAAGACAAAAGCTGAAACACATCCAGCATTAAGACCTTTTTAACTCAAACACTAGTCCATAATCCATAATAACGCTTCCTCCAGTGAGTCAGTGTTCTGGTGTGAATCAGGAGAGAAATCTGCACAGATCAAGCAGCGTTTAAACAGCTTTAAACTAATATGTGGCTGGATTGTGATGTGAGAGACAACAGCAGAACACTTTTTCACTGGAGGAAGAGTTATTATGGATTATGGACTCGTATTTAAGTTAAAAACACCTTAATGCTGGATTAGTTTCAGCTTTAGTCTTCTCCAGATGTTAACTGATGGACTGGAGTGCTGTGGATTACTGTGATGTTTTTATCAGCTGTTTGGACTCATTCTGGCGGCACCCATTCACTGCAGAGCATCCATTGCTGAGACACTGATGCAGTGCTGCATTTCTCCAGACCTGATGAAGAAATAAACTCATCCTAATCTCGGATGAACACACTTTTTTAGCAAATCTCCATTTTTGACTGCACTATTCCTTTAACAAAAGCCCTACATCTGTCAAAAGTCTGGCGGGTCATGCAATTGACTTGTTTTGCATCATTCGACAGACGTTTGAGGTGCATTTACAGTAAATGCATCTGTGAACTGGGTCAGTGACATTACAAGACTGCTACTGAAGCGCACTGTTGTGAAGGGTCTGGTGAGCACTGTGCGTGTGTGTGTGTGCTGGGGTCAGAGGTCAGGCAGGACACGTGATTGAGCTCGTGAAACAAGATGTCATCCTCTTGAGAATAACTGCTAATCTGTTTGTCCGCAGGCGGGTCGTCCCTCTGTCGGAGGGTCAGGACTTTCAGAGTCTGTGTTAGCAGAGAATGAGTCCACAGCGTCTTCCCAGATTGCACTGGGAGCTCCTGTCATACCACAGCCTAGTGGCACACCCAGCGCCCCTCCTCCTGCCACCCCAAGCAAGGTCAGCGACCTTTGACCTTCATCACACGGCACTCTCCCTCTGTACACAAAACCATAGCAGGATCTATGCACTTCTGCCACATTTCAGAAATGTGCAATACAGTTAAAAGTGTATGCTTATGTCTCAGTAACTGATGCCTCTGTCATGGTAGATGTAAATGACTCTATGTGTGCGTCTGTAGGAGGAGGAGAGCCTCCGAGCTCAAGTCAAGGATCTGGAGGAGAAGTTGGAGACGCTGCGGATGAAGCGCTCAGAGGATAAAGCCAAGCTGAAGGAGATGGAGAAGCACAAGATCCAGCTGGAGCAGCTGCAGGAGTGGAAGAGCAAGATGCAGGAGCAGCAGAACGAGCTGCAGAAGCAGCTCAAAGAGGCCAAGAAGGTGCTGGAGACAGAACACACTCAGATCAGTCACACAGAGCGAATCAGCACCAAAAACTTTTTTGATTTACTAAAATTTAATTTAACCATTAAAATGAGATTCTGAAAGAACAAACAAACAAAAAACTATTTGGAAAAAAAAAAATGGATTTGGGTAAAAATAAAACGGACTTCATAGGATGCTGAAAATGTCATTTTTGTTAGGTTTTTAATAAATTGGGGTCGTCAATTAATTAAACATCCTTTTTTAATTACTAAAATTAAATTTTGCTATTAAATCAGAATCTGGAAAAATTAAAACAGATTTCATTGGGCCTTAAAAATGTCATTTTTGATGAACTTTTAATAAATTGTGGTTAAATTGTATACTTGTCACGATTTCAGTTAATTAGGCATGCTTTTTAATTATTAAAACAATTTAACAATTAAAATGGAGTTGTGCAAAACACTGGAAAATGCAGAATTTGTAAAAACAAATAAAACTGGTTACACGGGGCCCTTTATTTGTTAAACTTTTTAATAAACTGTTTTTAAATGGTTAAATAGGTTCACGATTTCAGTTAATTAGATGTGTTTGGATTGCTAAAATTTAATTTAACCATTAAAACAGAATCCAGAAAAAATTAAACTGAAAAAAATCAAAACTGATTTTATGGAGAGAGACTATCTCAAAGAGCTGCTTAACTTCAGTTTAGCCTCAAGTGCAGGTTTGATAGTTAAATAGATATTGCCCTCGTTAATAGCTTTATTAGTTTTTTAGTAGCTTGTGGTGTAGCTGAGTACAAACAAGTTTGGCTGTTTTAACTACGTTAGAATGAGAGCATCATGTGAATGTAGTTCAGAGTAATTCAGTTGTAAGTCTGACAGATGGGAAGCTGAAATCCCCTGATCAAACCCTGAGCTCCTCTGGTCTCAGGAGGCGCGCGAGGCTCTGGAGGCTAAAGACCGCTACATGGAGGAGATGGCAGACACGGCAGACGCCATCGAGATGGCCACGCTGGACAAAGAGATGGCGGAGGAGCGGGCCGAGTCTCTGCAGCTGGAGGTGGAGGCTCTGAAGGAGAAGGTGGAGGAGCTGAGCATGGACCTGGAGATCCTCAAACACGAGATCGAGGAGAAGGGCTCGGACGGAGCGGCCTCCAGCTTCCACGTCAAGCAGATGGAGGAGCAGAACGGACGTCTGAAGGAGGCTCTGGTCAGGTAAAGCACGTCTGTGTGGGGCTCATCACCATCATTTGTTTTCATATCCGTCAATAATATCGATAATTATCACCATATATGTGACCCAAAACCAGTCATAAGGGTCAATTTTTATGAAATTGAGATTTATGCATCATCTGAAAGCTGGATAATAATCTTTCCATTGATGTATGGTTTGTTAGGATAGCACAATATTTGGCTGAGATACAACTACTTGAAAATCTGGAATCTGAGGGTGCAAAAAAAATCTAAATATTGAGAAAATCACCTTTAAAGTTGTCCAAATTAAGTTCTTAGCAATGCATATTACTTTAATTTTCATGTTTTAATTATAACAACACATTTAATTGCTTGTATTTTTGTTCACATTTTCATTTTTAATAATGAAACCTACAGGACGAGCATTTAGGCTTAATGCATTTATTTTAGGGCTGTCAAAATTAACGCGTTAATAATTAGAGTATTAAAAACTTGAAAAGTATTAATTTAAGGTACATTTAGAACAGATAAAAAGGTGCGATTAATCATGAATTATCTCATGACAATCATGCGATTAATCACGATTCAATATTTTAATCGATTGACAGCCCTAATGTATTTATTTATGATTAAGAGAACAGATAAACAGAGACTGTGCTTCACTTTTCATGCTCAACACCACAGTGACAGCGGAGGCCACTAAAAACAACTAAATCTAATTTTTATGAACCAATATTGATTCTTAAATCCCAATCGATGCTGTTTCAGTTGATGAATGAACAGTACATATAGTGCGCCTCCCATCCATTTGATATGATACAGTCTCAGATTTCAAATTCTGTCCATTTTATTAGAAAATTCAAGCAATAAATACCGTTTTGGCACTCTTTAATGTGTTGTGATAGATCGCTGTAGACACCTCAGATCAAGCGAAGCGGCAGCGCAGTGTTTTCGCTTTACTACTCATTTTAATTATTCTGAATGAGTTTTTTTTCCCCCCCATTTATGATTGGTCTTATCATGATAATCACAGTTAAAACCACACATATAGCACACCTCAATACCATGGTAAAAATATAACTACGTTTTTTTAGGTATCTGTATGAAAAACAGTAGTCTAAAGACATTTAGTATAAATGCACACATGCTATAGCTTAATCAAAATACTGTAATTATATTTCATTACTCCTTTAATACATTTAATTCATGTCTACATTAATATATTAAAATTCGAATCAAATACCCACATTTCTGTCACAATACCACGATGCAGTTAGCGTTACTACAGTAAATGATGGCGATTTGTAGATGGAAAAACCTGACTGTATCGTTGTGCACAGTGCTTCTCCTGTTTGTCAGAGCTTTCATCTGACTTTAAAATCAGCGAGGCATTTGTGTTGTTTGCTGAATTCAAGCGCTTCACTCTGGATCTCACAGCGCTGTTTCAAAATTATATCGCTATAATTATCGTTATCAATACAGTCCTACGTCTGTGTTCTCCTGCATGTTCCTGAGATGTGTGTGTGTGTGTGATCAGGATGAGGGATCTGTCGTCGTCGGAGAAGCAGGAGCACGTGAAGCTCCAGAAACAGATGGAGAAGAAGAACTCTGAGCTGGAGACTCTGAGAGCGCAGAAGGAGAAGCTGCAGGAGGAGATGAAGCAGGCTGAAGCCATGATAGACGAGCTCAAGGAGCAGGTTAGTTCAATAAACACGTGTTCAGCATCACACGAGTACGGCTGGGTGTTGAGATTACTTCATGATTTGATTCATAAGCTTGCGATTCAGTAGGATTTTAGTCTCTCTTCATTTGAATATATAAGCAATCAGGTACATAAGTGTCGATTTTTTTCAAGAAATAAAGGTCTCACAACTGAAGCAACACAATAAACAGTTGGTCAGTTGGTACTAGGGATGTCAACGATTAATCGATGATCAATTAATTGTCGATAAGAGATGCAATCGATTAAAGCTATCGATGGTTGATTAAGTCGTTTAATTATGGGCTGCGTGCGGCTCATGCGCAAAACACATGCGAGTGGCTGTGAGTGACGGTATGTAAATGCATCATCATTCACTCATCATTACAAATTAAGCTTTTAATGTGATTTAAACTTTAAAAGTACATTAAAATAAAAACAACACAAAGTTATTCAACATGGAATGCAATAGAAATGTAGTAACAGTCATTTCCCCAGATAATTCTTTCATATTTGAAACAATTAGTTGAAGGTTGCAGGGCTGCGGGACACTGCGGGCGACGGATTCATTCCTACAACTTGTTAATTTGTGGCCACTGTCCATGTTTCATTAATTCTGTTCCTTAAATAACCCATTATTTAACTAAAATGATGGAACAAATTAATACATTGAACAAATTCTTAATTCATGCCCTTGAAGTCTTTCATTTCCCTTCCGCATGTTTACCACAGTAAGAGATGCGAAAACATTGATAAAAAGTGAATGACAATAAAATAAACCTGCGAAATTAGAGGGTTAGACGGTGAGGATTTAGGAAAAGAAACAATGCCTAAATATGGCTATATGGGCCCGAACGGCATCCAAAAGCATGGTCGCGATGTAAGATTTTCCAGCTAACCAATTATTCCTCTAATAAACAAAGCTTTTATACCACACTTGTCATAATCGGAGCTTATAATTTGTAAATAAATAATTGCTGGATTCAAAACAGCAATTAAAAGGCGCTGTGACCGACACTGCCGGAGCATTCAATGCTGTCACTAAACGCTGATGCCACAACTAGAAATTTTTTTTTAAAGCATGTTTGCTTTATTTTGCAAAAGCACAGATCTTGTTTTTATTGTGTGTGCAAAAATAAAAGTAAACTCTTTTGGGGATTATATCTTACTCCAAAAATAGATTTTTTTATGTTTCAGCTGTTGGATCGCGCCGGCGCCTCGCGCACACACCACATATTCTAGCAATTCAAGCTTACATCGCAGTCTGTTCATTATCAAAATGAAATGCAGTCAACTAAACATAAAAGGTTACACTGGTCAGTTTAAATAGACCGTAGTATACCGGTCCACTCTGCTGTTATGCCAAGGACTTTTCTGCTCATGTGAAGAGGTTGATCTTTTCCGTCTATATGCGAATGCGTGTAAAGTACAAGCCTAGTTTACATTATAAATAATAGTTAACATTCAAATGCATTGCGAATATGGAAACATTTGGATTTGTGCCGAATGAGACGTGAGTAATAACCTCCAAATACATCTAAACCCGCGCTCGCTCCGTCTCGTATGCACGCACACACGTACTGTCACGATCTAATGCACTGTCAATGCTGGATTTTTAAAGACAAATAGGCCTACCAGAACGCAAACATGTCAAATCTGACATTTTCCCGGAACAGGATCCAGCAGGATCAAATTAAGTACTGGTCATAATACTCACATACAAATGTTTGATGTGAGCAACAGTGTGTTTTGCTGCAGCAGCGCCGATGGAAGCGGTTCACTGACTGCGCAGCACAGCCACACGCGCCACAGTTACGTTTGGGATCATTTTATTTTAAATGCCATAATGTCAGTTGAAAACATTGCAATTGTGTTTTAAAATACAAGAACGAGCACCACGAAACCATTTAAAGAGGCGCGTTCAGCAGTCTCCGTGTCGGGATAGGAAACAGTCAACAAAGTAAAATGATCTCAAACGAGCTCTCTTCATTTATCAAATGATCATAGTCACATCTATTCATTTTATGATCCTGCAACTAGCATTTTATTCAGACTAAAACCCCTTTAATGCGGGTGAGAAAGCGGGGTTTTTTTTAGTGGCTTTTGCACATCCTGTCATGCCGGTGACTGCGTGCTGCTGCAATAGACGCATTTAGCTGCATTAAAGTTAACGATTAATCGATTAATTGATCGTTAATTTAAACGACGATCGATCATGGAAATGATCGAAAATTGACATCCCTAGATGGTACATTACTTATGTTACTAACATTGAAGGGATTTGTAAACAAACATTTAAATTGCACACAAGGCTGTTTTATTATAAAAATGTATTCCTGTATATGATACAAGTTTATTATAATAACTATTGAGTTTATGGTCATTAAATATAAATGTGACATTCTGTTATTGATCTCAGGGTGTTTTATTCATGTCTTTCTGTGGTTAAATCAATGATTGATGGGTTGCATAATTGATTTCAGTGAGTTGTTCTGTTTCTCCTGATGTTTATTTTGTGCTGTAACTAATAGTAAAGAGGAAAAGATGATTTTATCTTTATTACAGTAATCTGTCACCACACACAAAAACATCATTCATTGATTGAATCTGGTGATAAAATTTATATAATTTTAAAGCTCAGGATTTGTTTTGTATGATTTTGTATTTGTGTTTTAAGGTGGACGCAGCGTTAGGAGCTGAGGAGATGGTGGAGACACTGACGGAGAGAAATCTAGACCTGGAAGAGAAAGTGCGGGAACTCCGAGAGACCGTCAGTGACCTGGTGAGACTCACGTTCAGCATTCAACACAAAAGCAGGCAGAGTGTGAACATTGATCTTCCTTCTCTGACGCGTCGCTCAGGAAGCCATAAACGAGATGAACGACGAGCTGCAGGAGAACTCGCGCGAGACGGAGCTGGAGCTGCGCGAACAGCTGGATCTGGCCGGAGCTCGAGTCCGAGAGGCTCAGAAGAGAGTGGAGGCGGCGCAGGAGACGGTGGCTGACTATCAGCAGACCATCAGCAAATACAGAGAGCTCACCACTCACCTGCAGGTCAGAGAGACGCACACGAGAACTCAGCAGTGAGATGCAGATGTGTGTTGACAAGCAGTGAAATAAAATGCATGCAAGCAGATTTAATTGAGTGGATTAGGGAAATAATACCAGTATCACCGTGGGGGTGGAGGTTTCCCTCTTTTCCTCACTTTCCTTCACTTTTAAATAGCTTGTAAAAGCGGCATGTGCATTTTACTTTCACTTTCAGATTAGCGGCAATTCGGTGTCAATTGCTTGAGTGCAATTCAAGCAACAACAAAATACGTCGTCAAACTCACTTTAGCCTATATATAAAACTTAGAACTTTTATTAACAAAACGAGTAAACATACACCATGCTGTAGTCTATGCTTAATATAAAATAGCAAATAGCTTACATAGTTTAAATGGGTATACAAAACTGAAGATCAGTAAACACTGTGATGCAGAACGTTTAGTAGCAAAACAAGTAAGAAAGCTTGGAGGCACGGCATACACCTTGATGTCAAATAAAATAAACTACACAAAGTTTAAATAAAGTAAAAATCAACAAATATTGTGGAACCAATTAACTCTTTCCCCACCATCGACGAGTTATCTCGTCTTTTAGAAGAAAACGCTTCCCCGCCAACGACGAGTTTTTACAGCTTTTTGTGTTTTCACTGTTGTACACTCAGGGGCGCTATTACACATCTTCTGCACGAGTACAAGACCTCCCGAACAAAAACACATGTGAACAGGAGGAGAAACGAGCCATCTCTTATGTAAACAGATGCATATGAAAAATAATGCGATCATCAGCAGTAGACAGCATATAAATGAAAACTGCATAATGTTACAGAGTTAAATGTTGATCCAGGACGTGGTATACGTCTGTTGATGGAGCGATTTCGGACCAACTGAGCTGAAAATCCAAACTACTTTATAATCCAACCTTATCATTTGCGATTAATATAAAGTTATCACAATACATCCTTTTATCTTTTAGCTCAAGTGAGCATTGGCTTAAGCCATTTTTTTTTTATATTATTTTTTTAAAGTTTTTGTTTAAATTTATAAAAATATATATTCTTATGTAATATATTCACAACTGTATGTGAGAAATATTGATTATGCAAATATCAGTGTTACACGTTTTTACTGTATGATATGCAGAACACTAACTTTTTTGTTAAAGTGATCACTAACTTAATTGAGCTGGTTTGATTTTACAATTACTCATTGGGTTTAAATATGTTTAAATAGTACATTTTTTTGTTTAAATGTAGATGATTTTTAAATGATAAATAAATATGGTAATCCTGCTGCCGGTGTTAAATGAAATATGACTAAACCTGGATCCACTTCCATTTCTCTTTAAACCTTTCTGTATGCCACCGTTGTAAAGCTGAGGTTTTCTCCGCTGCATGAACAGGAAGTGAACCGAGAGCTGACCAATCAGCAGAGCAGCTCGGCCGAGCAGCTGCAGCAGCCGACCGCTGAACTCTTCGACTTCAAGATCAAGTTTGCTGAGACCAAAGCTTACGCCAAGGTACAGTCTGCCGTCATTTCAGCCGAGGCTTGAAACACACCGAGAACGAGCGCTACAGGTGTGTGTGTGTGTGTGCAGGCCATCGAGATGGAGCTCCGCAAGATGGAGGTGAATCAAGCGAACCGTCAGGTGTCTCTGCTGACGTCCTTCATGCCCGAGTTTTTTGCTCAAAATTATGCATTTTTATGAAACCTACCTATATTCAAGTGTTGATAAAAAAAGAATGCTTTAAGCTAGAATAAAACTGATATTTTTTTTTGTTTAAAAGTAGAGGCTCTGATCTTTATTTTGGTGTATTGCATATTCAAATATTCATGCAGCGAAATATACTGGAGGCCATCAAATATTAGTGAAAATCATCAAAATCGCTGGCGGTGGCTGGCAACTGTTAAAAAACATGCTGGCGGGGAAAGTGTTAAATAGGAAACGGATGTTTAAAAAAACTTCCAAAATCACCTCAGATAAACGGCAGAAGTCAACAGGCAAAAAATACAATTCGGACCAACTGAGCTGAAAATCCAAACTACTTTATAATCCAACCTTATCATTTGCGATTAATATAAAGTTATCACAATACATCCTTTTATCTTTTAGCTCAAGTGAGCATTGGCTTAAGCCATTTTTTTTTTTATATTATTTTTTTTTAAAGTTTTTGTTTAAATTTATAAAAATATATATTCTTATGTAATATATTCACAACTGTATGTGAGAAATATTGATTATGCAAATATCAGTGTTACACGTTTTTACTGTATGATATGCAGAACACTAACTTTTTTGTTAAAGTGATCACTAACTTAATTGAGCTGGTTTGATTTTACAATTACTCATTGGGTTTAAATATGTTTAAATAGTACATTTTTTTGTTTAAATGTAGATGATTTTTAAATGATAAATAAATATGGTAATCCTGCTGCCGGTGTTAAATGAAATATGACTAAACCTGGATCCACTTCCATTTCTCTTTAAACCTTTCTGTATGCCACCGTTGTAAAGCTGAGGTTTTCTCCGCTGCATGAACAGGAAGTGAACCGAGAGCTGACCAATCAGCAGAGCAGCTCGGCCGAGCAGCTGCAGCAGCCGACCGCTGAACTCTTCGACTTCAAGATCAAGTTTGCTGAGACCAAAGCTTACGCCAAGGTACAGTCTGCCGTCATTTCAGCTGAGGCTTGAGAAACACCGAGAACGAGCGCTACAGGTGTGTGTGTGTGTGTGCAGGCCATCGAGATGGAGCTCCGCAAGATGGAGGTGAATCAAGCGAACCGTCAGGTGTCTCTGCTGACGTCCTTCATGCCCGAGTCCTTCCTGAGACACGGAGGAGACCACGACTGCATCCTCGTGCTGCTGCTCATCCCCAGACTCATCTGCAAGGTCTCTGTCTGACTCTTTTACCGCCTGCAGAGACTAGGAAATCAGTGTGAGGCTTTAGCACAGTTATTTCAGTGAGATCTTTCAGGATTTAAGACCATTATCTGCTTGTTGCTTACAGCACCTTTCATTTTAGTATCAACTTCAGACCAAACTAAGACTGTACGGCTGAAATAAGATCAAATGTAAATATTAGATGAAACAAGTTCAAGATGAAGCACTGAAATTATTAACTTGAAATAAATAAAAACTGAATTAGCACTAAAAAGGAAATGAAAATCAATTAAACCTTAATAGTAATATTTAAATATGCACTTAACTACAAATTAGAACTGAAGAAAAACTAAAACTGAAATAAAAAGAAATTTTACCTAAATAATAATATTTAAATATGCACTTAATTACTAAGCTACAATGGAAATAACATTAAATGATACCTAAATAGTAATATTTAAAATAATAATAATAAAAATGACAAAAGCACACAACAAAATGACCAAAAAATAAGGGAAATGTATTAAAAGTAAACTGAAAATATACAAATAAAAGCCGTTTCAAAATATGAATAACTGTATATTCTATGAAAAATATAAAAATAACTCTGATTGGCAGAAATACCACAAGCTCCTTAAAATGTTTAAAGTGCTTGAATTTAGCTCTGAAATCCCTGGAAAAGTGCCAGAAAATGAAAGGAATATGTGTATTTGGTAATACATAATATAGTTGCACACGGGAATCAACAAAATATGGCTTCTGCACCTCCTTCGTCTAAAGAAAGAAGCAAACACTTTTATTATTGAGCAAATATTAGCGACCTGATTTCTGATGACTTTTACGAGACTGTTGATGAGTCCTGGATTTGCTGCTGATGTAAAATGCGTGCATCAGGCGTCATCTGCATTAATAGAAGCACCTTTAAATGATGAACTGTGGTGTATGTGAGCGCACTGATGGTCATTGTGTGTCTGTGAAGCCTGCTGATGGTCTGTAATGTGCTGCAGGCGGAGCTGATCAGCAGACAGGCGCAGGAGAAGTTCGATCTGAGCGGTGGCTCTCCGGAGCGCTCTGGACTGAGAGGAGCCGCTGGAGAGCAGCTGAGCTTCGCGTCCGGTCTGGTTTATTCCCTGACGCTGCTGCAGGCCACGCTGCACAAATACCAGCTGTACGTGTCCATCATTACTCCACCACACACTCACACTCTTACTGAAGCCTGTGCATGCAGTTTATAAACAAGCTGCTTCTGCTCACCAAAGATGCATTCATTTCATCAAAAATACAGGAAACCAAACGGTCATATTGTGAAGTGTTAGTGCAATTTAACATAATACACTGTAAAGTGTAATTTATTCCTGTGCAGCAAAGCATCATTGCTCCAGTCTTCAGTGTCACACGATCCTTCAGAAATCATTCTAATATGCTGATTTATGAGTTTTGCTGCTTAATATTTTTTATAACCTTTGCTACTTTCTTCTTCAATGAATAAAAAGCTCAAAAGAACAGCATTTATTCAAAATAGAAATTCTTTGTAACAATATATGTCGTTACTATCACTTTTTATCCATTTAACACATCCTTGCTAAATATAAGGATTCATTTCTTCAAAAAGAAAGAAAAAATTTACTGACCCCAAAGTTTTGAACAGTAGTGTATATTGTAACATAATTTTGAATAAGCGCTGTTCTGTTTTAACTTTTTATTCATCAAAGATTCCTGAAAAAAGTATCACGGGTTCCAAAAATATTACGCAGCACAAGAGTTTCCAGCTCTGATAATAAAGCAGCATATTATACTGATTTCTGAGATCATGTGACGCTGAAGACTGCAGTAATGATGCTGAAAATACAGAGCAATAATTACATTCTAACAGATATTCACATAGAAAACAGTTATTCTGAATTGAAATAATATTTCACAAGATTATTTTAGTACTTGAAGATCAATATAAAGAAAATAAAAAATTTAATTTTGGAAACTAGCTGGAGTTTATTTATTTATTTTTATTTTGGGCAAACTTTTAGTAAGTAAGTAACTGTCTGTTTTAAGTAACAGATTTTGAAAAATAATATTTCAGTTTTAATTTTAGTTTACGTTCAGTACTTCACTTTAGTTATTTCAATTAGTTGTCAATGCAGCATTTCTCATTTTTTGTGTAATATTTTACTTAATTTTTCTATAATTTCAGTTATGATTTTAATGGTTTCAGTGAAAGAATATAAGGAGTGCTTCAGTCCTTGTGCTGGTTTCTGAATGCGTCTGAATAATGCAGTAAAACACGACTGATCTGTGACCTGCAGTTCACCCAGAGCGCTCTGGACTGCATGGGGTCAGAGGTCGGCCGTCTGCGGGCCTTCCTGCAGGCGGGACAGGAAGGGGCGGAGCTCTCTGTGCTCCTGAAGGACCTGGACACTTCCTGTGGAGACATTGGTCAGTTCTGTAAGAAGATCCGCAGGAGGATGCCAGGAACAGATGCTCCGGGGATTCCTGCCGCGCTCAGCTTCCCTGCTCAGGTGCTCACGTCTGATAACACTCCCTCTCTCTCACACACACACTGTCATACCTTTGTCATTACACACATTTGTGTCCTCGCGCGCTCACTCACTCACTCACTCACACTCACACGTACACACTCTCTCTTTCTCTCTCTCTCACACACACACACACACACGAGTTCTTTTTTTTACAGATTCTTTTTTTTATGGACTGATTACAGCAGATCATGCTTTCACTGGATTTGTAATGAGATGCTTTGTAAAGCTGTTGTCACAGAACAGTATAAGAGCTCAGAGATTTAACTCCTGCAAGAGAAGAAATTAATTAAAGGGTTAGTTCACCCTAAAATGAAAATTAGCCCATAAATTACTCACCCTCAAGTCATCCTAGGTGTATATGACTTTCTTCTTTCAGACGAATCCAGTCAGAGTTATATTAAAAATTGTCTTTGATCTTTCAAGCTGTTTAATGTCACTCAGCGGGTGTTGTATGCATCAGTCCAAAAGAAGTGAAATAAAAAGTGCCCATCCATAAACAAAGTGTCTCACACGGCTCTGGGGGGTGAACAAAGGCCTCCTGTAGCGAATCGATGCGTTTTTGTAAGAAAAATATCCATATTCAAAACTTAATAATCACGTGCAGTTATTCCTTAACTGATACAAACAATAACTGTCCCCGAAGAAATGAGACGTAAACAAAGGAATTACCATCCATAATACAACGTTATTGTTTCGTTGGACTAAAAGTGCTCTATGGGATGTTGTTCAGTGGACCCTTACCTTTCTAACTAAACCGGGGTTTACAGCTGTGGATGCGTTTATGACTCGTTATTACGATGAATCTGGTACGTACTGTGTTTTGATTATGCATGTTTTGATGTGTACTGCTTACGCAAATACATTCTTTATAAGCTTTCCATTGGAAAAGCAGCGATCTATCGTCGATGCTTGAGGCTTAGACCTTTAGAATGATATATAGTTTGTCCAGATTAATTATGTACCTTTTCATTTAATCTATTCGTAAACATTGACACGTGCTAACAAAGAGCGTTCAGTGCGCCGGCGTCCAGGTGCGTGTTAACAGGTTAATATCCATAATAGCTGACGACTTTGCCACATTCTTCATTAATACAATTACAAACCTCAGTGCACAATTTCCCACACCACAAACTGTCAAACACATCTTACCAGCAAACATACACTCGTTTTCATCCCTCTCTCCACTCTCTGAGGCAGAAGTCTCTAAACTCGTCCTACTACTTGTCCACTTGATCCTATTCCATCTCATCTTCTTCAAGCCATTTCTCCTGCAGTTGTACCTGCACTCTCTCACATCGTTAACACATCCCTTCACACTGGTGTTTTTCCCTCAACATTTAGACAGGCTCATATAACCCCACTACTTAAGAAACCCACCCTTAAAGGGATAGTTCACCCAAAAATTAAACCGTGATGTTTATCTGCTTACCCCCAGGGCATCCAAGATGTAGTGGACTTTGTTTCTTCAGTAGAACACAAACGGAGATGTTTAGCTCAAACCGTTGCAGTCTGTCAGTCCTGTAATGTCAGTGGAAGGGAATCACGGCTTTGAAAGTCATAAAACATACACAAACAAGACCAAATTAAACCCTGCGGCTCGTGACGATACACTGATGTGTAAAGACACGAAACGATCGGTCTGTGCATGAAACTGAACAGTATTTATATCGTTTTTACCTCTGATTTTCACTGCAATGTCTGAAATGTCCTGAGCGCGTTTGAGTCTGCATTTTTGTTGTTGTTTATTTAATAATAATAATAATTATTATTATTATTGTGATTAATGTAATTACTTGGTTTTGATACTTTATTTGAACCCATTATAATTGCATCATCATTAGTTTAAATATAAATGTACTCATACTAAAGCCTGTTTTTCACTCTGGTCTGTTTTTACTACTAAAAAATATCAGATTACTCAGATTATCAGTAGCTTACTTGATTACCAAAATAATTGTTAGTTACTGTTCTAGATTAGTTAAAACATTTCAAAATACAACTGCATTGTTTTGCATTTTGTGATTTAAAAGTTATTATAATAAAAAAATTGTATTAAATTGTCTCGTTGTCTCGTAGGGAACCGAGTATTGTGATTAATGTAATTACTTGGTTTTGATACTTTATTTGAACCCATTATAATTGCATCATCATTAGTTTAAATATAAATGTACTCATACTAAAGCCTGTTTTTCACTCTGGTCTGTTTTTACTACTAAAAAATATCAGATTACTCAGATTATCAGTAGCTTACTTGATTACCAAAATAATTGTTAGGTACTGTTCTAGATTAGTTAAAACATTTCAAAATACAACTGCATTGTTTTACACTTTGTAATTAAGAGACAAATATTTTGTCATTGAAAATGTCTTAAAAATATCTTCTTAGTATTAAAGAAATGATTCATTTCTTAGTATTAAAATATTGTCTGGTTCTAGTGAACCGAGTATCTGTATTTTATCTCGTGAGCTAAGTGTATTGTCACACCCCTCGAGTCGATAAGCGGTGATATAGCTCATGATTTTCCAAGTGTATGCTATAGCTTTCATTCTTCAGGTCAATCATAAAAAACATCAGTTTGTATAAGCAAAGTATAACTTTGCCACAGTATTCTTTTACATTTTAATGGTGCCACAGTCATTGCATGCTTTGCTTGTGCTGCACTTTATTTGTACCATTTTGTTTTATAAGATTATTTATAAGAATCTGAAAGATAATAACACTATTGTTTGATAAATCCCACATGTGCGTAAGTAACATGCTCGTTCACGTTCATTTGCATTCGGAAACGCCTACAATGAGCCATATATAGTGACAAAACCTCCCTTTATAAATCACGTGAATTTATGTGTCCTCACCGAAATCATGGCAAAGAAAGCGGTACCGACTGAGAAGCCATTCTGTGCTCTCACTCTCAGCGCGGTCTTTGAAAACGTGCTCTCTGCGGAGTGCATTGTTTGCCCAGTCTTCCAATAACGCAAGATAAGCCATTGTACTGAGACAAACATTTGTCACAGCTGTGTTTTATAGGGTTTGACACCAGTTACGCAACTTGTCTGTTTAAAACCAGACAAATGATAAATTGAGTGTTTTATAATTAAAGGAAACACAGGACATATGTGTATTGCTTAATGCATACTGTGACCCTCTTAAGTGCTTTTTATGTGTACTGTCGCTATTCTGCCACTAGATTCTCTGCGTAAGCATGCTCAGAGGTGTGCTTATATTTACACACATTTTGTGCGTAGTACAAGTACAAGTTGGTAGATCCCACACTTTGCGTGAAACTGTTCTTACGCACTCATTACGCACACATCTGTGCGTACTTACTGTTGATAAATGAGGCCCCTGGAATTTTATTGTGCAGTATCTGTACGAACCCTGCTATTATTGATATACCTTTAATTGTTAATAATGTGAGTTCGATTTTATATTTAATATTAATGCCATTTTGATTGAAAGTTTTTGTAATTTTGTGTTTGGTCAATTGTATTTTATTTTTCATTATTTGTGTTTATTTTTAATATTATGTTTGTGTTAATATTTATTTTGTGTGTGCAGGTGGGCGAGGCGCTGGCGGACTGCAGGAAGCAGCTGACGCGTGTGGTGGCCGTTCTGCAGGAAGTAGCAGCGGCAGGAGCTCAGATGATCGCTCCGCTCGCCGAGCCAGAGGGACTGACGCCGCTGAAGATAGAAGACGTGATGTTCAAAGCAGTGGATCAGGTACACACGCACTGAGAGACACACACACACACACACACTCTCTCTCTCTCTCTCTCTCTCACACACACACTGAG